CAACTACACATTCATACAATAAAATTTTTACACTTATACCAAAAAAATATTAATTCTTTTTAACCATACACTCTCCTAAAAATACTATTTAAAATTCATTTTTTCCCAAATAATGAGCATCAAATAGGCTCTTAGTGTCAATCTATTTACTTCAATTTAATGCTACTTATGTCAATTTTCATTGGTTTTTTCTTGTTGCTAGCCACCACATTTTGATTAAGCCCAATATGTTATGGGTCTATTCTCAGTGGCAAAGCCATCCTATCTTCCATGTATTCCTCATAATTGCAAAGTTTGATACGACTTTCGTAGAGTATGTTACAATGTCGACATTAGAAATTGCATGGACTTTTGCATCAAGCCTTCTCTTATAGAAAGACTTGCAAAAATGAGAGTTAACTAATTTAGCCATAAAAAAGGAGTGCTGGTTGATCTCACTCCAAAGGTTGAATACTATGAGTAAAGAATGAGCTCTCGTGGGCTCGACCTCTCGTTTCCTGATCTAGTGTCCTTCCCTTCGAGATTATTTATAACCTATATAATTTATGGAAAGTTATGTTATAGTAATGCAATCGTTATAAAACTGTCACATCATTTATTGTCAACCAATTGGTAAAGAAAAATGTACAAATATCTTTATTCCAAATTGATTTGATCTAATTTCAGAATAGCCCAAAACCAACCGGTCAAATTGGGTTGGATTGGACCAGAATTGTCCGCAACCTGATCTATCGCCTAGTCTTACCTCTAATACTTCACGGATTTCAAATTTTTAATCGATGATTTATTTCAGAACCGTGCTACACCAACATCTCGGTTGACATCTTGGATGGCCGAACACACACACCTCGGGGGTCGGCATTATTTTATTCACACGGGACCCACGCGCAATGTGAGGATCGATCACCCGATGTGTTAACCATTTTCGAATAAAGTAACTTTACTCTTTATATCAGAACTTTCCATATGTACAACACTTCACAAAGCCAGTCGCAAAAAGTTTCAGAATACACCAACATAGAGGATCTTTTGCGCACCTATATAAAGCCTGCGAAACACTTTTCCTACCCCTTGATGGATTCTTCTCCTTCTCGGATACTACTCCAATCCTCACCATTTACTCGTGTTTGTATACGTAAAATTACCCACATAGCGTACCTTTTATACACAAAATTCAATAATTTTATCTGATTTTGCAGCTCTTCATTCCGTTTGTTTTAAAGTGCTCATTGATTTGATATGGCGGCGATGGAACCTGTTCATCCACCGGCGGTTCAGAATCATTCTGCCACTATGGCGACGAGTTTGATAGGAGTGACGCCACCTTCGACTCCGCAGATAGCGACGGCGGCGGCTGTGGCCGGAGGTTTCTTGAACTTGTCTCTATATGTGGGTGATCTAGAGGCTACGGTGGATGAGTCGAAGCTGTACGATTTGTTCAACCAGGTGGCGCCTGTTATCTCGGTTAGGGTTTGTAGGGATCAGGCCCGCAGGACCTCCCTTGGCTATGCCTACGTTAATTTCGGCACTTATCAGGATGGTAATAACCGATGTCCATTGTATTTGGTGTTCTATAATGTTGCATTGCGTTGATTTTGTGCAGTTCGATTATTATTAATGGGGCGTGTTTGCATGCATGTATAAATTACATCCACACAGGCAAATCAATGAGAAAACATATTGAAATTTATGGGTTTTGGAGTGTTTTTAATCCTGGAGAGTAATATAAAAGTATTTTATAATTTGTTATGAATTAGACACAAATTTTGTTGTTAATATATTTTTTAAATTTTGTTATTTTTATTTATAGGCATCAAGACTCGTTTTTGTTTATGGTTGTGAAATGAGGTGAAAGTGGAACATGTAGTTTTTTAAACTGTTTTATATATTTTGAGGGTCTAGTTAAAATTTTGTATATCTGGGAGTGGTCCATCGTCAGTGCCTCTCTAGAATTACATAGATAATTTGGCTCAACATTATTGTTCTAATGCGAAGTGCTTATTCTTTTTCGCATGATTTCGTTTTAATTAATGCCTTTAGTCGGTGAACTATTTAGCTATGATATATAAATTGGAGTAAACAAAAACTTTTTAGTATGAAAATATGTATATGAGTGCCTTTCGAAGCATGTTGCTGTAGAAATGTGTGCTTAAATGAAATGGTTCTAGTTTTTTTAGTCTTTTATTCTCCAGTTGGAATAGCAGATCTATTGACAACTTGATAAAACATTATATTGATGTTATATTGGTTGATGGTTTAAAAAATTATAAGCTAGCATTGAAAAGTTAAAATGTAAAGATCAATTCCATGCAGCTGTTATGTAATTTATGGGAGTATACTTTGATTTTATTATCTTGTAGGCTTTGAGATTTAAAAAAAATCCTAATTATTTTCAGTTTAAACATTGCAGCATCTCATGCAAGAGAGGTTTTGAATTTTACCCCTATCAATGGGAAGCCTATAAGGATTATGTTTTCTCATCGAGATCCTTTTCTGAGGAAAACTGGACGTGCTAATGTTTTCATTAAAAACTTGGATGATTCAATTGATAACAAGGCACTGTATGACACTTTTGCTGTCTTTGGGACAGTACTTTCATGCAAGGTAGCTGTAGACAACGGTGGTTGTTCAAAAGGTTATGGTTTTGTACAGTTTGATCAGGAGGAAGCTGCACAAAATGCAATCAGGCGACTTAATGGCATGCTGATTAATGATAAACAAGTATATGTTGGCACTTTTGTTCGTCGACAGGAACGAAATAGCGTGGATGGGTCACCAATATTTACTAATATTTTTGTGAAAAACTTCTCTGAAACTACTACGGACGAGGACCTTAAGAAAATTTTTGGAAAGTTTGGTTCCATCACTAGTGCAGTTGTTATGAAAGATACAAATGGCAAATCCAGATGTTTTGGCTTTGTAAATTTTGAACGCCCAGAAGCTGCAGCTGCTGCGGTTGAGAACTTGAATGGATCATTATTAGAGGACAAGGTTTTGTATGTTGGAAAGGCTGAAAAGAAAGTTGAAAGAGAAGCGAAATTGAGAGCCAGATTTGAACAAGAAAGAATTAGTAGGTATGAGAAATTGAAAGATGCTAATTTATACTTGAAGAATCTAGATGATGGCATGAATGATGAAAAACTGAAGGAGTTATTTTCAGAGTTTGGAACCATCACATCATGCAAGGTATTTGATATTTTAAATCATCACTAGACCTTGTTTAAGCCAGTTGATTTTTTATGGAAGATATTTTTATACCATGCTCATTACCCTTTTGGTTGTTGCTGCTAATTTTCCTATTAAAAATTCTTTAGATCATGCTTGATCAGAATGGAGTTAGCAAGGGTGCAGGTTTTGTGGCCTTTTCCACCCCAGAAGAAGCTATGAAAGCTGTATGATAACTTTCTGTTTTTGCTTTTCAATTTCAAAGTTCTCATTCATTCTTTCCAAACGAGGTTTATCTGGTGCACTGGAATATTTTGTTTTTTGTGGAATCTCATGCACATTGTGTATAATTTATCTTTCAGTTGAATGAAATGAATGGGAAGATGATTGGAAGAAAACCTCTATATGTCGCTGTTGCTCAGCAGAAAGAAGAAAGAAAGGCTTGGCTGCAGGTGAATTTACTGCTTTACCTTTACATACTTAACATCTGCAAAATCGTTTATATATTTTTTTCTGTCATGGAAATAATGGATAGCATATAGAGAAGGTAGTTTTATCCTTAGGCTGAGTTCTGGTTTCAGTTTACCATACAAAATATTCAGACCACTTGCTCTACTTCTCAAAAGCTTATTAAAAGTCGCCATCTCTAAGTCTGTTAAATATTCCTATCCTTTCTCTTCATTGAACATTTCTAGCAATTTAATCTCTCTTAATATTTCATTCAAAGTGTTTTTCATCTTTTTAGTTAATTTTATATTTTTTGTCTGATCTTACACTGGCGTCTTTTAGCCATCATTCTTCATCTAGAAGATGGAGATGTGCGTACCTATATATTAACTAATTTTTTTCGTTGTACATTTCCATTTTATTTATGCGACTCATAATGTGTAGTTATGAAATAAAAAACAGTCACATTTTAGTCGTGTCTAGCTTTTTCTCCATTGAGGATGAGTCCGAAATTCCTCAAAGAAGATTGAGTGATTTCATTTGTATTATCATAATTACTTACATGTTTGTTTGTTTTCAGGCGCATTTTGCTCAGATGCGAGCACCCGTTGGGATGTTACCTTTACCAGCAATGCCTGGATTTCACCTTGGCGCACCTAGGTTTTCCCCACAGCAGCTCTATTTTGGTCAAGTTGGTCCTGTGATGCCACCTCAGGCTGCTGGGTATGGATTTCAGCAGCAGCACATGCCTGGAGTACGAGCAGGTCCTCCAAACTTTGTCATGCCTTTCCAACATCAACGGCAAGGACCACCTGGACAGCATGTGGGTCCGAGGAGAGTTGGAAGCACTCAACACCATCAACAGGCATGTCATGTTTTCTCAATTTATAACCTCCTTGTGTTTCTTGTTAAAGGTGCACATGAGATAGGCCTGTTAGAGTTTTGTTTCTCCTTTTGCTGTTTGGAATATTGTGATGGCCATACACGAGATGGCACGAGACTACTTTGAGAAAACCAAAATTCTTTCTTTTGTCTCTTGCAAAAAATAAAAAGTATATGGGGACATTATCTTAGTAAAATTCCCAATTCTACTCGTGGTGCTTTGACTCTTGCACAAACTTCTTGTTTGAACAAAATGAGCTTGTTTATCTTACTTCTTGTTTTTCTACAGCATTCTAATGCTCTCTTTGTAATGTGTATTACTGCATCAGGTGCAGCGCAACTTAAACCAAGGTTATAGCAGATACATGATCAATGGACGAAATGGTATAGATCCTCCTATAGTCCCAAAAACAACTTCCTCGAGCATTCAGCCTTCAGGTCCAGTGTCTAGTTCAACACTTGCTTCTGCTTTGGCTTCTGCTTCTCCAGAAAATCAGCAAATGGTAAGTCCTGTTTTTGGGCTTTCTTCTCACTATGCCTCAGATTTTATATGATAAAATTTTATTAGGCTTATATGTCACATCAACGTTGTTTTGATCTTGCTTCCTATGGTCCTTGTGTGCATTACTTGTGTTATTGCAGATGCTAGGTGAACATCTTTATCCCCTTGTGGAACTTGTTGAACGCAATCATGCAGGAAAAGTGACAGGGATGTTATTAGAGATGGACCAGACAGAGGTGCTCCACCTTATTGAGTCTCCAGATGCTCTCAGGAAGAAAGTGGGCGAGGCTATGGATGTGCTTCGGTCAGTTGCATCATCTGACACTGGCGACAACCTTGGCTCCTTGTCCTAAATGAAATAGCACAGCCTACTTTTGCACTTATTATGCGCGTGGCTTCTTGCATGCTACTTTCCTTGGAAGTTGATAATCTCTTGTCCTGACTAATTCTGTGGGATGTCTAAGATATTGAGTTAATTATGTAGGGTTTTTAGGACTTGGGTCCTCCTTTTTCTTTTTAGTTTCTTAGTTATGAACCAAGTAGGTCGTATTTTCTTTATTTGTTTTTGAGGACTTTTTGTTAGTGCAAGACACATTTAATTAAAAATAAATAAAACAGTAGGTTAGTAAATCTTAAGGTTGTTCGATCTGCTGTTATTTTTTCTAATCCTTCTTCGTGGATGGAAATGCATCAATAGCTTCTACTTGTATATAATTGGCTTGTTCTATTCTTTTCCTTCAAAAGCTCTGGTGAGCATAAATTTATCCCTAAGAATTTGTGATCCATAGAACCAGGGCAGTGGCAGTTGAGATCCAATTATCCAAATGACTAGGGGCAACTAAGTGCGTCTTAACAGTTGAAAATTTGAACTGTTAGAAAAGCACTACTTCCATTTCTTGAAACTGAGTTGGATAGTTACGCGAGAATCACTAGGCTTAGACGCAGAAAATAATTGAAGCAATCCCCTAAAGTTCGACTGCATTGACTCAAAATGGAACATATGAGAATTTGTCACTTGATTTGTAAAACTTTACATCCCGTTATTGTGAAGCTAAAGGAAATCTGGATGGATGTCCTCTTCTACCCTTTGATCACTCAATGAAGTCTCAAACTCATCGTTCTTCCACTGATTAGATGACTGGTCGAGAGAGGCTTTTCCCTCTCTGACCGGCAGGTTGTCATCATCATTTTCTGTAATGTAATTGCTCCACTTTGAAACTGGACCCTTGGCTGTTGTGTGTGGATTCAAAGGTGGTGCCCTGAATGCAAAACTTTCATCAACATTTCGTGTAATATTAGTACTCAGCTTTAGAAGTGATCCTTTGCTTGCTGTTGTTGGCTTGTGAAGCGATGCCACCCTATTTACTAAATTGCCGCTATCTTCTTGAATGTCCACCTTCAAGTGACTCCATTTGGAAGCCGTATCTGATGGCTGGAACTTCATAGTCCCTCTATTGGTTGTTTCCTGTAATTCAACTGGATCCACATCTGTAGAGACAAATTGCAATCAGTGCACTTAAACCGAAGCCCTCTTCATAATTCAATTGTTTTTTCCACCAAGTGTCATCAGTTAATGAAACAAATTATCATTCACCATAAAATTTTCTGATGTATTTGCTTTACCTCGAGAATGGGCAGTACTTTGCCTTTTCGCAAACACTGGTTCAAAAAGCTTTTCACCATCCTTAAAACCTGATCCACCAGTAGAATAATTTCTCAGTTTAGGCTTTTTGAACAAAGCCTTTGGCATCTCGGTCACGATCATTGGCTCAAATCCATCCACTGATAATCCAAATAATATTAGAAATTAGATCACATATGATTCGAATTTAAAGAATTATTATTGATTTAAGTGACGACCTTCTGTAAGTTCAAGTTTTCCCCAGTCTTCTTCATAATCAACATACTCGGACCAATCAGTCCTTTTCTTCTTTTTTCCCTCATTGCTTGGAAACTGGTTTCCAATATCTCCAATTTGTTCGTTTTCTTCTTCATCGTAGTTTTGTATGAACAATTTTTCTTCTTGTTTCTGCTCAGATAATTGCCGAGACATATTAAAATTCTGCACAAATTTGCGGACATCCTTGGCCATGAACCCCTTAGCAAAGACTTTCTTTACAGATTGCTTTTCGTTGCACACCACGCACGTCCATTTGTTGCTACTCTTCTTCTGCTGCTTCACCTGCAAATTTTTTTTGATATGTTGCATTTTCTACAGCCTACATATACATACCTGCATATACATTATTTTATGTAAATAAAGTACATAGAGAAATATGTTGCCTGCATAGTAAAGCATTGGAAACACTGAACGGCTATGAAGGTCGTCGGCATATTGCTTGATCCAGAATCTACACCATTGGCATTATCAGATTGTGAGGGAAGGGGAGAAATGTTGAACTCTTTAATTTATTAGTGGATTATTAAGAACAGACAAATCAAATCAAATCACTATCTTAATACGTGACAAAATCTGGCGCCAACATTTGAACTTCAAACAGAAGAAAATAAAATCCTCAGCTTCAGTGCTATTATATACTATCGGAAATTTTATCAAAATCGTTATGCAATTACCAGAAATAAATATCGCAGAAAACCTAGAAATGGCGAAGGGGCGTTACCTGAATTTTTTGGTTCTGAAAATGAAGAAAATTTGAGAAAAAAGTTTAGTATAACAGAGATCTGAACGGCTATCGCCCTTCAAAAATTCCACGAAACAACCATCAATAAGATTAGAGAGAATTGCTTACGGCCAACGTTATTTAAAAAAGTTTAGTTTAACAGAGATCTGAACGGCTATCGACCTTCAAAAATTCCACGAAACAACCATCAATAAGATTAGAGAGAATTGCTTACGGCCAACGTTATTTGGCGGGAAATTATTTTGAAATTTAGACGGGGGGAAATTTTACTCCATGTATTTGGATCATTGGGTGCTGGCTGGTTTGGGTTTGGAAGAGTCGGGTTGGGATTTGGATGGGTATAACTTAGGGATGGGCCTGATATTGAGTTAGGTTTGGTTTGAATTTGGGTTGGGTTGGGTTGGATTTTTGGAGGGACAATTCAAGTTCAAGCAAAATGTCCTTATCTTTTGTCATCTTTTAAATATAGCCCTTGTTTGCCCCCATTATATTTCATTCTATTACATTAATTTTTTTTCTCTCCTCGTCTCAACCATTCATTCATCAAATAAAATAATAATACACACAAATCAAAAACTTTTCATCACTTTTCCACCACACATTCTCACATCAATCACTATTCTAAAATTTCTATTCTCCTCAAGAATTATTCTACTCTACCAGATTTTGGTTCACAAATTTTGTACAGACTATCTAAAAATCCCTACCAAACACACTCTAAATTTAGCCCCTGTTTGGCCCCCATTATATTACATTCCATTACATTAATTTTTTCTCTCTCTTCATCTCAACCATACATTCATCAAATAAAATAATAATACACACAAATCAAAAACTTTTCAACCACACATCTCCCATCAATCACTATTCTAAAAATTATTTACCCCCAAAAATTTAAATTAATGGGGGGTAAACAGGGGCATAGTTATGTTCACACAATACTTTAATTAGATCATTAATCTTTATTCATCACCACACTTATATTCTTCAACTTTTTTCTTCGAGGCCTTCTTATTTTTAACATTTCGTTGATCATAAAATTTTGTAATTAATCATGATTTTAATTCAAAACATTGTTAATGTGATTTAATCGCATTTTTGCATTATTATTTGTTTTATTTATTTAAAAATAAAGTGGACAAATGAGTTTTTTTATTTTATATTAAAGAAAATTTTGGAGAGAAACCATAATCTTAAGCAATTTAGCCCATGTTTGTCTACCCTTGTTACAAACATTGTTTTCTACAGTAAACAATCTCAACCACATATTCACTCAATAAAATATTTCACGCACAAACCAATAAAGTTACTTTAAATTTCAACCACACATTCTCCAAAAAATATTATTCTTTACTCCATTTTTCTACCAATAATGGTAGACAAACAGGCTCTTATATTAATTTGAAAATATGAATACAATGAAAAGAGTTTGAGACATAAATTTTATAATGTCTAAACATTTTGAACATTTCATGCAATAAAAATATAATTTAGTTATTAAAAACGGTGTGAATAACTGAAAATATTTAACCTTTGAACTATCATTCTTAGTTTTTCAAAATTTACATTTACCCCCTCATTTCCACGTATTCTTGCGCTAAAGTCATTTTCTTCACTTGCTGGCCATTTATTCCATTAAATAAGTGTATGCTATGTGGATGACATGATTTAGAGGGGTTGAAAGTTAATAGAAAATCCAATGATTTCAAATTTGAAAGCATCTAAAATCATGTTTAAGATCTTTATGATGGTGGCTTGTGGTGTTGCCTGGTGGTGTTTGGTGGCGACATGTAGTGAACCAAGNATAATGGTAGACAAACAGACTCTTATATTAATTTGAAAATATGAATACAATGAAAAGAGTTTGAGACATAAATTTTATAATTTCTAAACGTTTTGAACATTTCATGCAATAAAAATATAATTTAGTTATTAAAAACGGTGTGAATAACTGAAAATATTTAACCTTTGAACTATCATTCTTAGTTTTTCAAAATTTACATTTACCCCCTCATTTCCACGTATTCTTGCGCTAAAGTCATTTTCTTCACTTGCTGGCCATTTATTCCATTAAATAAGTGTATGCTATGTGGATGACATGATTTAGAAGGGTAGAAAGTTAATAGAAAATCCAATGATTTCAAATTTGAAAGCACCTAAAATCATGTTTAAGATCTTTATGATGGTGGCTTGTGGTGTTGCCTGGTGGTGTTTGGTGGCGACATGTAGTGAACCAAGAAGGGTTAAGAGCTGATAAATGAAGACGGGATTGGATCCACATCCATGTTTTTCTTTGTCTCAATAGACTTGGCTCTAGAAAGAAGTTTTAGAGCTTGATACTCATTCACCGATGGTAGCAGTGACTTTTCTTTCACATCAACTCGGTAAGTTTGGGTGGAGCAAATTGAATCTCTCAATTGATAGTTTTTGGTTCCATTAGTGAATTGTGTTAGGTGATGATGCTTGAAGGTGAATGATGTCAGTGGTGGTGGCTGCGAAGATGGTACCATACCATAGTGGTGGTTGGACAACGAGGGTGGTGGTGGTGGACTTGTTTGGGTTGTATGTTGAATTAAAAAGAATATAATATATGTTGAAATATAAAACTTATTAGAGCATATGGTGTAATTATCACTTCAATTTAAGCTTAGCGAGAGCCAGGGGTACTCATTAAGGGGGTGTTTGATGAATATTATTGAGGAAATTATATATTTTAAATAGTGATATGATGAGAAATATATTGTTAAAAAGTAAGAAAAAATTATTGATGTGATAAAAAATATTATTTTATTAAAAAATGTATGGTTGAAAATGAATTTTGAAGGAATGTATTTTGGAAGAATGAATGGTGGCTAATTCGTAATATAAAAATTAACAAATAATAAAATATGTCATGTCATATTATTATAAACAAAAAACGTCAATTTGTGGAACCAATTATATTCAGACACGTAAGACTGACCCGATCCGACAGATCCTGGGTATTCGGACCCGATTGGAAAAGAGTACAAACGTTAACGCCGTTATGTCTCTTTTTCACTTTTCTTTATTTTTCCGAAAAGGAAAAGTGTAAAAAGCAATTTTCTCGAACACATTCAAAGGTCAGATTACAGATTAGATCTGGCTTTATTTGCCTCGCTTTTTCACACACTAACACACACTCATTTTTCTATCACTCTCACCACTATTCGATTATTACTCAACGCTTCTAGATCTATCTCTTTCTCTCCACTTCTCAATGTTTTTTCACACTCATGGAAATGTAGCTGTTGTTTGCTTCAGGTACTGCATTTTACTCTGATTTCTTTGATTTGTGGCTTTTTTTGAGAGTTATCTTTTGTGGGTCTGTTTCTTTTTTTGCTTTTCTTGGATGCTCTTTTATATTTCTGGTTTTTCAGTTTGGCATTTTACTCTGGTTTCTTTGATGTCTTGCTGTTTTTTGGTAGTAATCTTTTATGGGTCTGTTTGTTTTTTGGTTTTGTTAGATTCTTTTCAATTTCTGGTGTTTCTGTTTGAGTTTTGAGCACGAGCATCAGCTCACTGAGGGTGTGTAGTATCTATGCATTTACGCATTTTTTTAAGATTTTCTTATTTTTCCTTTTTTTGGGTGATGATACGATATAAAGGAATTCGGAGACGGGTTGAAAAATGTGCATGATGATGGTTTATTTTTCCCCCCCTAGTTGTGTTGCTTTCGTGTATATATAGAAAAAATGAATTTCTTTTCTATGAGAATTAGGTGGTAATAGAGTAGTATTATTTGTTTCAAAGGCTGAAGAAAACCAGCAAATTAATTCCTAAAGATGATGAGCGAGATTTGGAAACATCTGAACTGCTGGAATTGGTATTATCAGTTGCGGAATAAACAAAATAGTCTTTCTTTTTCTTTGATTTTGACTCATCTGATTTGCTCAAAGCACGTTACTGTTGTTAAACAAACTTGTCTTGGTCTGCATTCGAAGAGATCCATTTAGACTGTAAATACGGGCATTTTTTTGAGTGTGTGAATATACGGGCATTTTAATAGAAGCATACTTCAGAAGAAGAGAGACTATTGAATTTTAATGCCCACCCATTTTCATTGATGAATGATGATCATCATGAAATGTCTATTGTGGATGCTAGTTACTACTTTTTGGGTGCTTTTATGCGTACTTATATATAAAAAATTTGGATGCACAGATAGGCGAAGAAGAATTGTGGGGCGCATTGGGTTGAAAGTGTAAGGGGTTGAATATTTAACTTCTGAGAAAACAAAGGGAGATTTCACTACTTGGTGCTCCACACTGAACACATCAATGGGGTCTGAGCAGACTCGTTTTCTGCAGCCTCAGCAACCACCAGCACCTCGGGTATTTTGATTTTCAGATATAATTCATTACTTGTACACTTGCACAGAAAGATGTAAATATATGGACCTCGTTAGCAGTACAATTTGGTATGTTTTATGTGTGTGCGAAGATTTGATCTTGAAGAAATCTTCCACTTATTTTCTATTTTCACCTTCCCTTGTGGTATTGGCTTATGGTTACTCACATCAATTTCCAATTTTATGCTAACTTGAAAGCTGGGCACAATGTAGTAGACTTGATCTTAACAAAAAATTAACTGTATTTTGATTGTTTATAGAATCTATTACCTTAACTGTCTATTTAAGACACCTAGATCTATTACTTAGACTTTGGTGTCACAGACAATCAAGAGTTATATAACTGAAACCTCCTCTGGATGTGAACTTCAGATTTTTCTTTCAGATATTAAGATTGCATATAATCATTATGTTACTGTCAATTCAAGAGATCACAGCAGTGTGGTATCCAGCCAAGAAATTTTCAGATTAACTATTACCTTGAATGTGAGGGGATTGATTTTCTGATGGAAGGCTGTGGATTATCTGTAACTTTACTTGTATATGTGATTCAAAATGCATCCTTTCGTCAATCACTTGTATAAACACCTGTGCGTTTAAATGTGCAGACCCGATGTTCTAGTGCCCGAGAATTATCTATTTTCTATTGAAATAAGAAAAATTTCTAGCTTTATTTCTTGTAAACAGTTAACTGGAAACAACCTGATGCGTATAAGTGATGTAAGAGGAAAGCATGCTTTTGATTCACATAAAAATCATAGGTTTAAGACAAAACAAATATGACAACTTGTGAAATAGTTAATCTGAAACGGATGCTCTACATTTATAAATATTTGTTGCCCTAATTCTAACTTGATGACCAAGTAATAGAGTTAATTGGAAGCTGACAAATAAGGCCAAAGTTACTATAAAACAAATTATTAAGATACCGAATCCTTGAAATAGCTAGGATAGAAAAATAAAAATCAAGTGCAGCCGTACTCGTATTGCTTTTTCATGCTGCAGTGTAGCGAATAGTTAAATGGAATAGTCGGGCTATGGGTAACGACTTATAAATTTATGAACTTCTATTGTGTGTGATAAATATTGATATAAGTTAAGTTTTTGCTATATAGGAATTGGATCCACTCAAGAGTATTGGTCATTGAAAAATAAATTGAGCTTAAAGAGGAGAAATTCTCATCCTCTTAACTGCTTCCTCTGAAACCTAATTGGGTGAAACAAAAATATAAGGAGTTCAGTTTTTCCTTCTGATTTTGAGATCTTAAGTTTTGCTCAAGCGTGCAGGGTTAGACTGCCATTTTATTGGTAGATTATAAAATTTCGGTTGTTTTTCCATCATCGAATATCGAATTATTATTCGTGAAATGCTACTTTTACACCATCAGGGCACCATTTTAGTAATGTATTGTAGCCTTTAGCTGCACCTTCCCCCATCAAGGTGTTGAGGAGTGGTGTGTTTTAAAGTGGAAAAGGAGCTGATATGCCTATATAAGTATAATGAGACATAAATATTAACAATTATAGTGAAGACAAACTGCTATTAATGATGCCTAATATTTGTGCTGGTCTGTGCCATTTTCGCTTGATTTTCATATCAACAAATTCTTCTGTCACTTCAGTTTATGAAAATTTATGTGTACGGGATGGCGCTAATTCTGTACAATATTGACAGTGCAAGAGATGGGCAGGATGTTGGGGTGTATTAACGTGTTTGAGGAAACAAAAAGGTGGAAAGCGTATTGTGCCGGCATCTCGCATGCCTGAGGCCAATGCTTTTACAAATCAGGCAACTGGACAACAGGCTGGCGGGTTGCCTAATCAGACTACTGGATTGGCCCTATCTCTTATAGCCCCACCATCTTCACCTGCATCCTTCTCGAATTCGGCACTTCCATCGATAGCTCAGTCACCAAGCTGTTTCTTGTCTGCCAATTCACCGGGAGGTCCTCCATCTAATATGTATGTCACGGGTCCATATGCCCACGAGACGCAGCTGGTATCTCCTCCTGTTTTCTCGACTTTCACAACAGAGCCCTCTACAGCTCCTTTGACTCCACCACCGGAACAGGCACATTTAACTACTCCCTCTTCTCCAGACGTACCTTATGCCCATTTCTTTTCATCAGCCATCAATCTCAAAAGCACCAATAAGAACAATTATATGGCTGGTAATGATCTTCAAGCAACATATTCTCTCTATCCTGGTAGTCCTGCAAGTACTCTCAGATCACCTGTTTCAAGAATGTCTAGTGACAACTTATCATCTTTTCCTGAACGGGAGTTTCGCCGTCAATGGGATCCTTCCATGTCTTCACGAGAAACTAATCTCACAAATTCTGATTCATCCGTGTTACTTGGGCTTCAACCAGCAGGTGCCTCCAAGTTGCGTCAAGATTCCAATTTCTTCTGCCCCGAGACATTTGCTCAGTTTTACTTGGATCAGTCTTCATTTTCTCATGCTGGTGGTAGGCTCAGTATTTCCAAAGAGTCTGATGCTTACTCAAATGTTGGAAATGGGTATCAGAATAGGCAGAACAAAACGTGCAAAACAGATGTTGAGGAAATAGAAGCTTACAGAGCATCGTTCGGTTTCAGTGCAGATGAAATCATTACTACAACTCAGTATGTGGAGATTTCTGATGTATCAGAGGACTCCTTCAGTATGACGCCTTTTACCTCCAATAAACCAGTTGAAGAGGAACATTATATAACTGCACCAGCAGTAGATGGAGCAAAAATGGAGAAAACACAAGAGTTTTCAAATCCACAATATGGTAAAGCACGACTGAATCATGCTGAAGGGACGCCCTCTGGAATGCCAGGTTTATGCGACAGACTTAAAGGTGAACTATCACTACCTGAGATAATTGCATTCTACATTTTTTAGTTTAAAACATGATAATAATTTGAGCCCCATTTTTTTTTTCAAAAAATGCATTTTGTAATAGTGTTCTGATGGAGAACGTGTGGTTAAAAAATAAAGAAAAGTTTCAGGTTTACGTGTAATATTATTTTATTGAAGAATGTGAGGTTGAAATTGGGTCAAATCACTGTTCAAGAATACTTTTTGAAGGAAAAATGGGGCTCAAACGTGTAAAACTTCTAAAATCATCCTTAGTAATGTCCCCCACAAATCACTCCATTTTCAACCATTTCAATGCTGAGACGGACAATTGAGACAAGTTTAAAACATGATGATAAAACTTCTAAAATCGTCATTGGCTATTATTATATGCCCCACCAAATCGAGTTCCATTGAAGTTTAGTCTCCATTGGATTTCCTCTGTTTCCTTGGGATATCTTTCAGGATGGTAGCTGTTCCAGATTAGCATGCAATACTAAGGGGGTGTTTGTTTTTGATTTGAGAATTGATTCTCAAATCAATTCTCATTTTCAACCACACATTATTCAATAAAATAATATTTTCCATCACATCAATAATTTTTTTTTCTTTTTCAACCACACATTTCCCATCATATCACTATTCAAAAATCAATTCTTCCCCCAAAAATCTCTATCAAACAAGCTCTAAATATATAATTAAAATATTAAAAATATGGCAAAATTATTACTAAATAAGTATAGGTATGTAGGATTTACAGAATGTTAATTTTTCAGCAGAAATATATGAATTTAAATATTATTGTTCTTATCTCTGATAATTCTTGTTTCTCTGTTGATATTTTATTTTGTTAATTATCATTATTTCGTACCTATCTCGTCACCGTGCTGGTTTTATTTTTTAATAATATTTTTTTTTCTCTTTCCTTCAAGCAATGACATCTTTTCTTACATCTCAGATCAAGTACCACTTCGTCATCTTGTCGATGTTTCTGGACGTACTCCCGGTAACCACATTCTAAGTGATGATGACTGTGTATTCTCCAAGTCGGGATCTACAAGAAATGGCAGAAAATATAATTTCTGCACGTCAAATTCTGATGCAGAAATCGAGTATAGGAGAGGGCGAAGCTTGAGGGAAGGGCGAAGCCTGCGATAAAGCATGGTTACTCGTCATTGCACGAATATTTATCAGATCATAGTCTCTTGTATGTATTATTTCTCAGCTTTTCCGTTTACTTCTGTTGGGAGTTATCTTCACAAACGAACTAACCGTTGATCCAACAGTCATTTTGCCTTTTTTTTGGTGTGTCTGTCGTATAATACACTCTCAAAATTCTGCTGGTGGCTTTTGGAGTCTGTATGGTATATATGGGTTCATATGGGTGCAAAGAATAGATTATGTGCACTTCTAAGAAATGCCTCAATCGAAGTTCTGTTTCATTTATACTAGATTTTACCCATCTTTTTCTTCCATCCTTCACGTCATGAATGTGTATTGAAGACACTTCAAATAAGAAAGAGGTCACCTGAAGTCTCACATTGGTGGTAAATAGAAAAAATCCACAGATTGTCTGTTTTTCGTTGTCCAACTGTGAATTTTTACTTTTGTTGCTAGAGGGGACGATTATTTGACCAGGACAAGTTGGAATGGTCCAACATGACATTGTTCTTCCATATGGTCCAACCGTCCAAACAGAAAGAATTTGGAGAAATATGAAATCGATTTGCAATGTATAAGTGGGGGTTTAGGGTCCTTACTAGATCTACCCTGGTCACTGGGTCAATAATCAGCCCGGTGGTTCTTCGGCTGCAACACCCCGTGTCTTTCCTTTTAATGCTGTGTCAAGACAACGAGCGGAACTTCTATTTCGCTATTTCTTTTGTTCAAACTCTGTATTTGCTGAATGATGTGGTGTTGATGTCGTTTGAATGCGGGGAACAGTAACGTATAGCAATGTAAGCTTCATTATTCCCCAATAAGACGTTGAAAATCATAGCCTAAATTGTGTTTTGCAAACATGCTTTGCTTACGTGGATATGGTGAATGTCTGATAAGGTCCACGTAGAAAATCTGTTTAACATATGGGAAGATTCGATAGGTTTAACAAACGATGTCGACTTACCTGATGGATAAGTAACATGGTGCATAATTTAGTGACCATTGAGATACAATTTTTAAGTTCAGTTATTAAATAGTGGTACTTGGTACGGCTCAGTAACCATTCAAATATTAACCCACGTTTGAACATGTTCAAATAATTTTTTAACTGATTAGTTTCTAAATTTGGATTACATTTTCAAATAATCAGGGGAGGTGACAAGCTTGGTTGCTAAAAAAGATTGCATAATGAAAAATGAAAGCTTGGAATCCCTCTCTCTGGATAGTGTTAGACGGGACATTACCAGGTCGCGTATGAACGTGCAGAAGGAAAGAAACGAGAATGAAATCTACTTTGTATATTTCTTTCATATTGCAAATGAAATCAATTTTATAGCTTCTAAACCTTTGATGTAAAAATTATTGTGACTTCACACGATTACTAGATGAAACCTTACAACAGGTGAAGGATTTTAAAGCTTTGTTATTTCCATGGAAGAGCACGCGGCGTTTTTGCAGGGGTGACGACATTCCCTGCAGAGTCATAGATTATCACCCCTGAAAAATCCGGGAGCTCACATTTTCCTCCCATGAGTATGTTCTTCTTCCACACGGAGGCTTCGCCACTGAAAGTACTCGAATCAACATCCCCAAAATGGTAACCCGGGATCACTTCATGGTTGAGTTGGATAACAGGATCATCGTTTCCATAGCCATAACAAGCTCTCCATTTACGCCATCTGCGGGAATGATTGGCACACATGAAGAGAGAAAATGCACACAGAAGAAGAGTTCCAAAAATGAAGCCTATGTGAGATGTGGTAAGTGGCTGATGCTCTAAGATTATGTTTCGAGCCATTGAGGGTATTGATGATACTGCTTGTGTTGACACGAGAGAATTTATTGTCTATAATTATAGGTAAAAGAATGGGAGTAGTGGAGTAGTTAGGTTTTTGGAGGATTTGTTGTGCACTTCAGTTTTGGTTTTGTTTGGGGGGTCAGTATGCTTGGACCTGCTTTCTCTTGATGGGCTTAGAATACACCATTTCTCAAGTTTAATTTTAATTAACCATCTTGTGATGCGGACATCAAAATTTATGTTATTGTTGATTTTTATTAATTATGTTTTTTTATTATTATTGGACTTGTAGTAGTGGGTTGGTTCAAACTCTTCAAGTTAGGTTTTTACTATTTATTGGATATTTTTATTGTTGTTCGGACGATAATTATTTGAAATAAAAATGATTTTGGCTTGCAGCCAACGATTTTCCGTTTCCCTAATTCTCTCCCCTTCCCTGCTTCTTCTCCAATTCTCCCCCCCCTCTCTCCAGCTTTTCTCTCCATTCTTACTGTCTTCTCCTATCCTACATCATCTTATATCTCATAACTAGTCACTTGTCTACCACTCATCGACTTATTTATTTATATTTTTTAATATTATTATTTTACATTTTTTTAAAAATATATAAATTTTAATACATATAATAAAAAAATATAAGATTTTGAGTTGTTTTAGGACAGGTTGGGACGTGACCACGACTTCTTGCCATCCCTAATTAGATCTCTATTGGCTGACATTTGGTTATCCTAGAGTTTGCAAGTAGCTCCAATTGTGCTTTGAACCCTGCTATTTGCTCAAAAATGTTGAAGGGCTGAGGTACATATGCCATCTTAGCATATGTCAAAGAATCTATCAAAATATTTCTGTACAAGTAGCTTAATTATTGTGCTTTTATGTTCCTCCTAGGTGGGACGATGCCATGGCATTTTGCCATCCTTAATTAGAGTCTCCCCTGTCCGACATTAATTGGTTGTCTTATAGAGTTCTGATTTTCAATGACATCAAAACCAACTGAAAGACTGTTTACAACTATGCAAGAGAATCAGAACATGGGATTTTTGAAGACTGGTCCTCAAGGCATGTGGGGAATGGGAATTAGCCCCTTGTGTGTCACCTTCTGTGTGTTGCAATATTTGGCCCTACATACCTGAAATCTTGATCAATCACTTTAATCTTGCCTTTATAGCCACCCCCATATCCAGTTTTTCTGCTTTCTTTTTGCAGATCTTGACCGTTTAGTCCATGCACCCCACTAGCTTTGGGTGCATGTGATTCAAGGGACTGCTTACACAATACATATACATATTGGACAAGTACAAACTGTTTTTCTTAATAAATTAGAATTTTAGTCGGAACTGAAGTCAAATGGGGTGGCCTCATTGCATATCGTCCAAGATTTGTTGGGAGTTTTGGTAACTGTGAAAGTTCAGAAAAATCAAAGAAGAAAATGGTTCTCTAAAATCTTAACACTGTACGAGGAAATCTTAAGACATAGTCCAATTTTGGGAGTAGAACTTTTCTCTTGCTTCATGCAGAAACTGAACTCCCCTTAGCATTGTAAAGAAAATCAATCACTAATCCTCTAAACATGAAAAATACAAATAGCCAAACAAAAAGAATCAGTTTTGATTTGAGGACTGTTTTATTAAAGGCTGAGAAGTTTTCCCGGTTTCCTCCAGTGGACTCTTCACTTCCATAAGTGCCACTTCCTTTATTGTTGGTCTTTCAGCAAGCGATGAATTTACACAAAACATAGCTATTCCAAGCGTTTGGAGCATTTCTTGCACCATCTGATCCGGCGTACCTTGGAGCTTTGAGTCGAGTACCGTCATAGCTGGTTCGAAACTTCCCATCTTCTTTTTTACCCACTCTGCTATGTCATGGTGAATCCGTATTCTGCAATATTAGTCACCAAAAAACCTTGATTAGACAGTGACACTAGAATTATATATAATAACAAAAGAAAGGAAACCGAAGTTAAATAACACTTGCCTGGTGCAATATATCCGTAGGAACCAGCTACTCAGGACATTGCTTGTTGGTAGTTTGGAGAATTCATTAGCTTTGCAAGTCCAAAATCTGCCAAATATGCCTCATATTTGGAATCCAAGAGTATATTATTGCATTTCACATCTCTACGAAGAATCGCGGGTACACAATCCTGATGAAGATAAGCAATACCTTGAGCTGATCCAACCGCAATCTTATACCTAGTTTTCCCAATCCAAGTTCCTGTTGGTTTGCAAAAGCTGTTGAAGATTTCCATTTGGTATATGGCTGTAGAGGAGTAGCTTAACACCCTTATTTGAACAATATCGCAGTAACTTTAATATATTCCGGTGCCTAATGAGTCCAAGAATTTGAATTTCAGCAGCAAAAGAGTCTATTGGATCTTTGTCTTTCTTTGTTTTCCAAAGCTTTTTAACTGCAATCGACTCACCGTTTGGCGTCTCCACCTTGAAAACGACCCCAGAACAGCCTTTTCCAATAACATTTTCATCTCTCATGCTATTCAAGATGTTTTCAACAGTGAAATTCAGCTTCTGAAACGGGATGAAAGTCCATGGATAAGAAAAATCCTCTTCTCCAGATGAGTTGGACAAACCAGACTTATCGATTACACATGCGTGATTCCGAAACACTAGAATCCAGGTAGCCACAACTGACATTGTCACAGAAGCCAAAATCACAGCAACCAAAGCTATATTCTTGGCAGACTTCGATCTTTTTCCTCGCATCAAATGCGAAAAACAAGTAGTGCCATCGAGAGATTCACAGAGGCGGGAATTTTCAAGGAAACATTTCGAGGTTAAAGTTTGAAAGAAAGGTGTCACTGGAATTGGACCAGAAAAGTTGTTGTATGAGATATTCAAGGAAGTGAGACTGCTGAGGAAACTTAAAATTGTGATTTTTCCATGTAGCGTGTTCTGTGAGAGGTCCAGTGATTGCAACTGTGTCAAACCCGACATCGTCTATGGGATTGCACCAGTGAATCGATTTGAGCTCAAATCAAGACTGATTGTTAAACTTGTCAAATAACCGCAGCCGCCTATTTGAGTTTTTCTCTGACAAATATTTTTGGAATTATGGTAAGCGTACATTCTACAGTATACGCTTTTATTGGCGTTGTGTAGGAATTCAAAAAATGTTACATCGAAAAGTATTCAAAATAATAATATTATTTATGAAAAAGTATTTAAAAATAAAATTTTAATCATTTGCTAATACGTTATTCATCCTTCACAGAATGAAGAGATTTTAACACCTTTTTACTTGTCTTGGAGCACAATTTAATCTACTTTATTTATCACATAAATATTCAAAAATTTAAAAGGCATATTTGGTTCAACATGGGCAAGAAGGACATTAATCAAATGAGTGAAAATGGTAATCTGAGTGCATTACAAAACGCGTTTGAGTCATGACCATTACTTGAGAATCTAATGCTCTGTGTTTGGACTCTTATTGAGTAACAATACATTGTAACTTTATTCCGTGGTTAAAAGAAAAGGTAAAGAAAATGGAAGGGTGGTTTGTACAGAAGTAGGTCCTAAAAGGATTTAGATTTTATATATATGTGTGTGTGTGTGTATAGCTCTATTCCAACACCCAATATCATAGCAATTTCGTCTTCTCTCAATTTGTGAAACTTCTGATTAATTATCTACTCTCTCTGCACCTTCCCTTGTTGCTCTTTGCTTTCTCTTTCTTAGTCAGTTTAAGAAATCATGCAATGAAAGGAACAGGAAACACAATCAATTATCGCAAAAAGAATTGAATCTCAAGAAATTAGCAAGGCTCTATATATATCTCCACTTTACTTCTTCGAAACAAAGATGGGTGAAAACAACAGACTTAACCAAATGTCGAATGTCTACCTCAGTGTGTCTCCTCAGGGTGGTTCCAAATCGTTTGATGATGATGGCTGTCCCAAAAGAACAGGTATTATTTTCTTTTCATTTATGTTTCATAATTTTGGTTTGATTTTAGCTGATTTTTTCTTTTGAATAGGAACTGTGTGGACTGCAAGTGCTCACATAATAACAGCCGTGATTGTTTACACTGTTTTGTCCTTGTCTTGGGCCATTGCTCAACTGGGATGGGTGGCAGGTCCAGCAGTGATGTTCTTCTTCTCATTTCTCACCTACTACACCTCTGTTCTTCTAGCATCATGTTACCGGTCGGGCGATCCCGCTACCGGAAATAGAAACTATACTTACATGGACGCTGTCAGAGCCAACTTAGGTAATTCATGTTCAACTGTGTGGAGCCTAATCATACTATACAGTTAATCTCTCGAGCGTAGACGACCTAGGCACCCTAATATCACTGCTATATTTCATTCTTTCTACTTATATTCTTGTTGTACTTGGAAATTTCAGGTGGATTTCGGGTGAAAATTTGTGGAGCAATTCAGTACTTGAATCTTTTTGGAGTTGCCGTTGGTTATACAATTGCTTCCTCTATAAGCATGATGTAAGTATGAGTCAAATTTGGAGCAAGAAAACCTCTGTTTTATTTCAGTTTTGCTGTTCAAAATCATGCTTGGAAATTTTACTGATTCGTGAACATAAATAAACAGGGCAATCGAGAGATCCAATTGCTTCCATTCAAAAGGAGATGATAGTCCTTGCAGAATTTCAAGCAATCCTTACATGATTGCATTTGGTGTTATTCAAATAAGTTTCTCTCAAATCCCAGATTTCGATCAAATATGGTGGCTTTCAATTGTTGCTACAGTCATGTCTTTTACTTACTCAACCATTGGTTTAGGCCTTGGAATTGCCAAAGTTGCAGGTAGGAGAGGAACCCCCTTTTTTCATGTTTCTTTTATATTCTGCTTTAAAAGCATTAAATTTGTTAATTTCAAGTGTTGTAACCCACTATTTTTAGCTATAGAAAATGGGAAATTTAAGGGAAGTCTCACTGGAATTAGCATTGGCATTGTAACTCCAACTGAAAAAATATGGAGAAGTTTCCAAGCAATTGGGGTTATAGCTTTTGCCAATTCTTGCACTCTCATCCTTATTGAAATACAGGTATACAATGTTGGACACCATAAAGGTCAACATTTTAACTTTACACTATCCAATTTTGTAGAGTTAACCTTACATCACGAGCCTAATTTTGATTCTGTTACCCCCCGATTCCGGGGTTTAAAGGAGCAAGGCCACGTAAGCAGGACGGTCAACAGAAAGTCAAAATCAAGTGTTGTAACCCACTATTTTTTGCTATAGAAAATGGGAAATTTAAGGGAAGTCTCACTGGAATTAGCATTGGCATTGTAACTCCAACTGAAAAAATATGGAGAAGTTTCCAAGCAATTGGGGTAATAGCTTTTGCCTATTCTTGCACTCTCATCCTTATTGAAATACAGGTATACAATATTTGACACCATAAAGGTCAACATTTTAACTTTACACTATCCAATTTTGTAGAGTTAACCTTACATCACGAGCCTAATTTTGATTCTTTTAATGTTTTAATAACAGGATACAATAAAATCTCCACCCCCAGAAGACAAGACAGTGAAGAAAGCAACTCTAATAAGCATGGTAGTAACAACAGTGTTCTACATGTCATGTGGCCTTGTTGGTTATGCAGCATATGGAGATCTTTCACTTGGAAATCTCTTCACTGGTTTTGGCCTCTACTACCCGTACTGGGTTCTCGACATAGCCAACGCTGCCATTGTTGTCCACCTTGTAGGTGCTTACCAAGTTTATTGTCGACCCCTTTTCGCCTTTTTTGAAAAAACTGTGTTAGAATGGTTCCCAGAAAGTAAAATCATCACCAAAGAAATCCAAGTCTCAATCCCGGGATACAAGCCTTTGAAACTCAATCTTTTTCGACACATGTGGAGAACTATTTTCGTGATCATTACAACGGTTTTGTCAGTACTCATGCCATTCTTCAATGATAATGTCGTTGGAATTCTAGGTGCGTTGGGGTTCTGGCCTCTTACCGTATACTTCCCAGTCGAAATGTACATAGTCCAAAATAAGATCCCAAAATGGAGTGCTAAATGGCTCAGCCTACAAATTCTAAATGTTGTTTGCCTTATTTTCTCTATTGCTGCTGCTGTTGGCTTTGTTGCTGGAGTTGTTTATGATCTTAAAGGGTATAAGCCTTTTAAGAATATGTCCTAATTCTTATCACTTTTACATCATAATTAGAAAAATGGTTTTTTTCCCAACAAGAAAGTGATCAGAATTTGTGGTTTCAATTATATTACTTGATGCATTATTTTCAATCTTTAATGTAATTTCTCAGTTGAAATGGCAACTCAAATAGACTTTTCCTCAAGTTTCTTTTGTTAAAAGTTTCTATGGCATCAGTGGTTGGTAATATTCTTTATCAATGAGATTTCTTCCTTTCCACAACTCATATTCATCACTTATTACTTTATGTTAGTGGGGTACAAGGGATAGATCTTCAAGATTCCAAGGAAGAAAGTGTGTNGTATAATAGAGGAAGACTTGTTCTCTTTCACTTATGGGATCCAACGTTGGGCTACAATGGAGTTGCTAAGGTGGGACGTGAAGTTGAGGTTATTGATTGTTTTTAAATCAACGGATCTATTTGGATAAGGTTGCTCAGTTGAACACTTCTATATATGTACACTTTCGAGTTGCACATCGAGTAGCTGTTTTGTGATTGAAAATAGTTATTTCATTCAAAAAGTGAATAATGAAGTAAATGCGATTTGTGTTAGAATTTGTTTTTTGGTGCACTCAATTAGAGTAACACCCTATGTCTATATTACTAGAAAAGGATTGATTAGGCTCTCTTTCAATAATCGATAGTGTGGATTCTTCATCACATCACATCACATCACACCCTATGTTTATATTACTAGAAAAGGGTTGATTAGTTCCCTTTCTTTTTCAAATGGCAATGTCATGGATTTGTTGCGTCGTCTCTTTCAAATTTGAACCATTTCCAGTTAGCATACGAAGTCTCTTCATTTTCAAAAGGTAAGCCATCCATGGGAGGGGCTTCCACTTTGCGGGTAGCTGAAGTGGCTAAAAATTTTTGCCTGTACTTTTTTGCCATCGCTTCCGCTTCAGAAAATACTTTCTGCAACAAAGGGCGAAAAATATGCAATATGGATGCTCGTAGCTTTCATGCAATAAAGATCCTTGATCATTGATATGGAAAATAACGAGCAAGTGAAATGTATTACTTAATATTAAGTACCTCCTTGTTCGATAAAAATAGACCAGGTTCACTTTCGAGGTCAGCGACACTGCATACCATAAGAAATAAATCTAATTAGGAAAAATAAGCACTCATGTAGCAGCTCCTTAGAATCAGCACTAGAAAAATTCAAGATATAAAATGCATTTTGATTGTTCAATTAAATCTGTTAAGATAAATTCACTGAGAGAGCAAGCACATTCAGGAAACCACAAATAAAATGCCCCAAGTACGAGTAATTCTCACGGCATCCTACATTTGAAAAAATAAATTGACATATCTGCAAAATGGGAATTCTTAAAAGTATGTTAAAAGAGAGAATCAAATCCCAAGCACAAGAAGAAGTCGAGAAATCTCACCTTCCCCTTCCGAAAAGGAGAGAATTTGAGTTATGGGGCCTACACTTGTTATTTTTTTACTTCACAGTATAATATCATTTTACTGTTCAAATAACTTGGGCAATGTTACAATTAATTTTCACTAACAAACTCATACTGTTCTCAACGTATCCTCTATCCCATGTTGCACGGACACTCCCGATGTTGTGTCCAACATGTGTCATGTCGTGTCTGTCATCAACACTCCTCAGAAACTCATGACATATACAATATGTATTTTCCTTACTCGGCAGTATAATATATAGTTCAACTTAAAGTTATTTTAATATAACAAATAGTTACTTAGCCAATTTATAAGATTTCATGAACAAATTAAAACTAAGCCCATGTTTGGTAGGGATTAAAATATAGATTTTAATTTAAATCTAAGTCAACAATTAATTTGAACTACAATATTTTATGAGTTCCACAACTTTTTAACCAAATATTTTATCAACTTGTATCAAATCTACTAAAAATCTGATTTTAATCCCTACCAAACATGGGCTAAGGAAAGAATTGATTTTATTAAAACATAAAAGGTGTTACATAAATATAGAATATATAAAGCTACAATTTAAAAAAAATTTAAATTAAATAACATGTCCACGTCCTACATTTTTGAAAAATCACATGTCGGTGTGTCCTTTTTGGTGCAATATAACTTCTATCTATTTAAAAAATCCAAATCGTTTGTATAAATTATCTATTCTTACTTCTTAACATCTGTACCAAGTAAAATAGCATCGTTAGTAAATCCATTGAACAAAAGAAAATCAGTGTACCTGAGAGAAATTTTGTCAGGAAACATGGATTTCACAACCAGAACTTTAACCTTCTCATCAACTGCTAAAAGGTCAGTAAGAGAAGTAATTCTGCCTTTGGTGATGTTTGAAATATGCAGCAATCCACTACAAAAGGATAAGAAGACGAGGTGGTTATTCAAGTAATCACAAGACAACAGCAGGAAAGAATTTTCAGGGGTACACAATTAAATTACTGCCCTTGATCATCTATTTGTCAAAATTTTATTTTTTTATGCACTTTCAAAAGAAATGATAACAAAGTAAGGAAGGATGTGAAAACTATCAATTAATTTTAGAAATTTGAGACCACAGACCAAGAGGTAGCTCGACATTAACTTTTCCAACTGATTCTAGGTGGTTGCAATTTTAGTCCTCCTTTGGTTGATTGGCACACTCGATGAACCAGAATAGGTTTTTGCAGCAAAATAGCAGAAACAAACCAGAAATTTAAGTTTATCGAATAGTTGTAAGTACGACATTCATACTGCTTATTGAAATGTATCAACCGAACCTTCTCCTTGGAATTTCCTCTACAATCATTTAATTACTAAAGAAAACATTGTCTTCCAAAGTTTTGCATATATGTGTCTCTCAATCATAATTAGCATTTTGTCTTTCCTTCATTAGAATAATGGGCAGATTTAGTTGTTTGCAGGCAGCACGATCTGACTTTAAATTAGTTCACATCTATAATAATTAAGCTAAATTTTCTTAGCATCAAAAGAAAAAAAAAAAAAACCAAGCATGTCGTGACTTGTCGGATCAAGTGGCAAACTAAATAATGAATGATATTTTAGTAATAATATACCTCCTATTGGTATTGCCTATCCTTATCTGAGCACCATATGGATAGATTTTTCTCACAGTTCCTTCTAGAAGTGTTCCCTCTTGTAGATGCAACATCCCCTATCACATAGCATAGCCAACGAAAAATCATCAAGAAAAGAAGTAAAACAATGAAATTAGTCGTATTGAGAATACCCATTAAGAAAAATAAAAGCCCCAAATAAAAAGAGAGGAAGCAATGATTCAAAGTGAAAGGCTAACCCAAGCTTCCTTTTCACTGAGTATTAAATCATTGGTATCTACATTTATTCTGGTAATTTGCACATATATTCGCCGTCCAACCTGCCACATCAAGAAATAAATTATTAATGGCTAAATGTCATAATGCAATAATATACAACGCATGGGCAGAGAAATTTAACGAGCCAAGTGATATTATAACCATCAACGAACCAATACTGAACTATATTGTCAGAGTTGGTAATGGTGATTGTTTGAACTATCACTAATCACTAGGCAATAGAATGATAGTCGGCGCACAGACAAAAAATATTGAAACATTGACCATTAGTTATGATAACTATGATGTTACCAAAGACGCTTTTTGGGCTAAAAAAGAGAAGTTGCTATGACTAATAGTTAGTCTTTATTCATCTCGATCACGCACAAGACAGGTGAACTGAGGTGGCATTTGGCTCTATGATATTTCGCTCAAAAAACATGACCTTGATCAACACAGTGGTACTTCTTCCACATAAAAATTTCTGAGGGTGAAATAGTCCAAGATGGTCCCTAAATGAATTTGAAGTTATCTTGGAGTTGGGGTTATTTGAATACTGCTTAACTAGTTTTTATAAATTTGGAAAAATACTGATTTTAATCCATGGCCTTATCCTTTCTTATCAAGCCAATGGAATAGAAACGTGCTAGGAGATTCTGCTGGTTATCCTTACTGAATTCAGATTTATTTTCTGAAATATACTCTGCAAACAAGATGTTAATTTTGCATGCTTGTAACTGACCAGACAAGAAGTTGATAGAAATGTCTATACTAATATATGGAACACAGTTACTCTCCTTGGAACAAAAATTGGTGCAGGAAAAAGATAAAAAGAAATGCAAAAGTGCACTTTGGCGTACGTTCTCTTTCAGTTGTGTGAAATTGTTTACTCTATTCATCAATTCAGCCTTTGGAAGAAAAGCCCTCAGCCCCTGCAAAACCAAGGTCGAAAGTTTAGTGATTTAGAGAGGTAATTTCTTTCAACAAGGAGGGGGGAGAGAGAGGTACTTCTATTCTTGTAAGGAGACCACCAGTGTTCCACTCGGTTATTTTAACCTCTATCGGTTCATTGAGCTGCTTAATCTGCACAAGATAAACAATCTTATATGCCAGTTCTCCAACAATAGTAGAAGAAGTGCACTTAAAAATTCCATCGAAAAAACGTAAAGATAGAAAATGAAATAAGAAAGATTTTTATAGATAAAGCTAATTTGCACATTAGCATCATTCTAACCAGCTGTATCAATATCCCAACAACCTCTATTAACCAACCTCTGTTGATTCTTTCATAGGATCATCCAATCAACGTCATTGTGAAAAGTTGGGCGATAAGTCAAATGTATGGCATCGATGATTGCCTAAAAATTTGTAAAATCAGCTCATCACAGAGGCTCCATTTGGATCTTGAATTTTAGTGGCAAAATGTGCTTTTGGATCCAGAAGAAATGCAAAGCTTTTTATGAACATAAATAAGGGAGATATTTTGCAGTTTATACACTTATTTTCCATAATATTCAAGAAATTTTGAAATTCAATTTTTATTCTCTTCATAAAGAAAATGAAAAAAAAATTGTTTTATTTATTTTGCTTTATCATTTATCTTTACATTTGAAATCTAGGATCTGGATGGAGCTGTACTGAATTCTTATAACTTCAATTTTGGTTCAATTGCACCGACTCTTACCAAGCATCTTCCTAACTACCCCAGTTATCTTTGTCGTGCATCAGGAGGTGGCAAATGAATTCAAAGGTGGCTGCAAATTGAGCCTGACAAAGAACTGCATACGACTATAAGTCCACTCACAATGGAAGAGAATGACGGGAAGAACTAGTGTCTAAACTGCAAGCTTTTGTTCCATAAGAGTGACTAAAGTAGTATTATTTTATTTGCTCGGCTAAGGACCAGTATCCTCAATTGATTGTCCAATTTCGCATTATTCAAATGTTCAAAATCTAGTGAAGAAAACTCTAAAATGCCACTTCATATCTTAGACAACTCAGTTATATTATAAGAAAGCATTACCTATTCATCTTCCTATGTTAACCATATATTTCTTACCCAATTTCACTTGTACTAATTCCAAATATTTTCTATCAAAATTCTGATAGAATAGCTTATTTCTAACCCTTTATTCAATCCAAATCCATCACCAATGCATCATAACTGTCCAGCCTAAATAAATTAAATATAATCAAATTTCTACAGTAAAGAACAGAGAGAGAGAGAAGAACCTGCCTCACTCGGTGCCAAGCAATGCGCCTAACAAGCCTTCTGGTTGAAAGCAATGGAAGGCCACTAAGAGTCCTGCCAAGAATCTCAGCAAAAAGAACAGTTCCAGGCTCCACAACAGGTGTCCCTGGCTTCAGTTCCTCATTCACTGCCTCATCATTCCTCACTATCCCGATCTTCCCTCGCACCATAAAGTCCTCGACATCCTTCTCCACATCACACAACAAATGCTCCATCTCCTTGTCATACAAAGGCAACACCTCTTTAGTCAGCATTATTCCTAATAAATCTGCACCCACATTCACAACAAGCTTATTTTCATTCCCCGAAACAACTACTCCCAACACTAAATCACCAGGTTTCGGCTCATAATACTCTACACTCACTTTATTAGACTCCTCCAGACTAGAACTCTCAATTTTACTATCTTCCAAATCATTTTCTTCGTCAGATAGCCTAAAGAACTTGTAAAAAGTCTCCAAGACTTCATCTTTATCAGGTTTCTGCGGTTCAATTTCCACTATTTCTTCAGCAGATCCATCATCTAATTGCTTTGGAAATGGCTTGTTAAGTAACTCGAGCTCTTCAAATTCATTTTCAGTCTTTTTGGACAAAAGGGTATCTGTATAATCCTCAAGAACTCCATTCTTGGAACAAAACGGAACACGGGTACGCCTATTTGGTAACTGTAAGGAAAAACACAAGCCACTGCAAGGTTTTGAAGGGAAATTTGGTGTTTTTGCAAGTGGGAATTTTGAAGAAGCTTTGGTTTGAATGGCAGTGGAGTAAGTAATCGGAATCTTGAAGGATAAGGATGGGATGAAGTGAGGGAAGGACTTGTTTACAGGATGATGAATAAGGATTGGCATGTCTCTACTTAACCTGCGCACCCCTCGTGAACGGTTAATGAAACCAGTATTGCTGCTTTGCCGCTTCTTTTTATCCGTACATGGTGCTTGCGGCCTGGTCTAATGTGCGTCGATAGAGTAGTAACACGAATCTTCTGGCAGGAGAAGAGATGGGCCTGTTCAAAGATATCTTTGTTGTGGCCTTGGTTCTCATTCAATTCTTCTATAGATCCTTGGGCTTTCAATTTAAGAACAGATAGGTCCTTTTAGATGGAAATAGTCCCGAATTCCAAGAATAAGATGCCCTGCACTCCTATCACTTTGGTCAAGTGGATCCTCATCAATCTTCTAGTTTTCTATAAAAAAACTAAAAACAAAAGCGAAATTAATAGGAAAAGAATAAATTATTTTTTTCATTATCGTACAATAATAATCGCCACTACCATCTCCACTGTTGCCTCACATCGCCATTGTCTCCATGCCTTCCCTCATCTCGTTCCAAACCCTTCACCTTGTCCCATTTCCTCCATCCCGTCCCATTTCTTTCTTAGAACTAGGGAATTTTTCACCATTTTAGCAAACCAAAGGAAGCTCCATTTATAACATCTAAAATCCACAAATACTTGTGAAAACCCAAGTCGATCGGTCCTCCATTTATCCAAATTCCATTGTATGAATATAGGTGGTGATAGGTTTTCTAGTGGGTACGATTATTTCTTGTTTTATTTAGCCCATGTTTGGCACTCATTATTATAAAAAAAAAAGGAGGG